AAGAAAAGTTTGAAGCTAGCAGAGTTTGTTCATGAGGTTTAAGGAAAAAAGTCAGGCGGGCGCAGTGGCTCATGCCTATAATCCCAGCACTTTAAGGCCGAGGCAGGTGGATCATGAGGTCAGGAGTTCAAGACCAGATGGCCAAGATGGTGAAACCCCATGTCTACTAAGAAAACAAAACTTAGCCAGGCATGGTGGTGGGTGCCTAAAATCCCAGCTACTCAGGAGGCTGAGGCAGGAGAATCACTTGAACCTGGGAGGCAGAGGTTGCAGTGAGCTAAGATTGCGGCACTGCACTCTAGCCTGGGCAACAGAGCAAGATTCCATCTCAAAAAGAATAAAGCAAGCAAGCAAGGAAAAAAAAAAAAAAAAAAAAAAAGCCATATTTGTAACGTAAAGGCGAACCAGAAAGTGCTGATGTAGAAGCTGCAGCAAGTTATCCATAAGATCCAGCTAAGGTCATTGAAGAATGTGTCTACACTAAACAACAGATTTTCAATGTAGATGAAACAGTCTTCTACCGGAAAAAGATGCTATCTAGGACTTTCATAGCTAGGGAAGATAAGTCAATGCTGGGCTTCAAGGCTTCAAAAGATAAGCTGACTCTCTTGTTAGGGCTATGCAGCTGGCGATTTTAAATTGAAGCCAATGCTCATTTACTATTTCAAAAATCCTGGGGCACTTCAGAATTCTGCAAAAACGACTCTGCCTGTACTGTATAAATAGAACAACAAAGCCTGGATGACAGCACATCTTTTACAGCATGGTTTTCTGAATAAGTTAAGCCCACTGTTGAAACTTACTGCTCAGAAAAAAAGATTCCTTTCAAAATATGACTACTCATTGACAATGCACCCAGTTACTCAAGAGCTCTGATGGTGATGTATAAGGAGGTTAATGTTGTTTTCATGCCTGCTAACACAACGTTCACTCTGTAGCCCATGGATCAAGGAGTCATTTTGACTTTCAAGTCTTAGTATTTAAGAAGTGTTTCATAAGGCTACAACTGCCGTAGACAATGATTCCTTGGATGGATCTGGGTAAATTGGAAACCTCTGGAAAGGATTCACCATTCTAGATATAATTAAGAACATTGGTGATTCATGGGAAGAGGTCAAAATATCAACATTAACAGGAGTTTCAAGAAGTAGATACTAATCCTTATAGATGACAGTAAGGGGTTCAGGTCTTCAGTGGAGGAAGTAACTGTAGATGTGGTAGAACTTATAAGTGAACTAGAATTAGAAGTGGAACCTGAAGACGTGACAGAATTGCTGCAATCTCATGACAAATTTGAAGAGACAAGGAGTTGCTTCTTATGGATGAGCAAAAAAAAACTGGTTTCTTGAGATTTACTCCTGGTGAAGATGCTGTGAACATTGTTGACATGATAACAAAGGATTTAGAATACTGTGTAAGCATAGTTGATAAAGCGGTGGCAGGGCTTGAAAGAATTGACTTCGATTTTAAAAGAAGTTCTACTGTTGATAAAATGCTATCAAACAGCATCACATATACAGAAAAATATTTCATGAAAGAGAGTCAGTCGATGCAAGCTTCAGTGTTGTCTTTATTTTAAGAAATTGTCACAACCACCCCAACCTTCAGCAACCACCATCCTGATCAGTCACGGACATCAACATGGAGGGAACACCCTCCACCAGCAAAAAGATTAGAACTTGCTTAGTTGATTGTTAGCGTTACTTAGCAATCAAGTCTTTTTAATAAACGTTTTTAATTTAATGATTTGTTTAGACATAATGCTATCACACATTTAGTAGACTACAGTATAGTATAAACAGAACTTTTACATACACTAAAAAAAAAAAATGAAAAAAAATGCAACTGGCTTTATTTTGATATTTATTTTATTGTAGTGGTTTGGAACCAAACCTGCAATATCTCTGAGGTATGCCTGTACATCCCTTTCTTTCATTGGCTTCAGATTTGTTTTTCTCCTATGCTTTTGACTGAGAGAAAAAAAGATCTAGAATTTATATGAGTGGTATTTATAAAATTAAACCTATTGCAACCAATGAAAACTATCTCAAAACACAGAAGGAAATAAAATTGACTCTATAGTAGGATTTTTGTAATTATTATCATCATGATCAATACATTTTTATTCATTGCAACCATATATGGAGTAAGTTGCTAAATCCTAGCAATAAAAAAGAAAATATTGAACAATCCTCATCTTCAGTTGAATTAGTCGATAGTTGAGGAATGAGGACACATATGTAAAAGGATAAATTCTAATACACACTGTCATATCTTAAGTGGGAGTCAACCAGTCACTATCCTTGGCATTCAGAGAAGTAACTACTATGGACTAACAGAGGCACCTTCAAGGGAATTTGATCTACATTTTGAAGGAGGACTAGAACTTAAAGAACTTAGGGAGCGTTTTCCAGCAGATGCTACAGTGTGCACAAAAGTGAAAAGGCACATGCATTTTCAGAGTAGAAGTAATATATCAATGAGCCAGACTGGTTCAGTGAATAATATGGTAGAAGAAAAATCTAGAGTGTTTTGCTAGCCTTGAATATTTACATTGCAGGGTGTGCTAAAGGGAGATTTATTGGACATAGAAAATCATTTAATGTTTTATGAGAAATGAACTTACTTTAGGGGATTTGATAAGGTGTTGTTATTAAAAATGTTAGTATAGAATGAGGTAATTATGGCCTAGACTAGATAGCAGCAGAGGAAATTAAAAGCAAGCATTAAAGACTAGAGTCATTAGGATAGAAAAGTCAACAGAACTCGGCAACTGATTAGATGTAAAGATAAGAGAATACTAAGAATTCCACAAACTTTTATTCAACTGTGCTTGGGCTAGGGAATCATAAATAAATGAACCTGTCCTCAATGATGTATATAACATACAATTTTATAGAGAAGGGAGTTATCAACTCCACAGGGTGTTGAAATATTGCTAGAACAGCTTCACAGGTAAATTGATGCTTGAGCTTGGAGTTCATGGATGAATAGAATTCCATCAGATGGGAAAGGTGAAAAAAGTAACAAACAGGGGCAAAATATTACCTTTAACATTTTAAGTCTATGTATTTGGAGAAAGGTGATAACACAGACTACAGTGAGGAAGTGTGGTAGTAAAGATGTTTTAGGTGTAATGATAATGAGTTCAGGTTCAACAGTCTTCTAAGAAATATGTAGAGTGCCTACAAATCTGGGATACATCTATGAACAAAACAGATAAAAAGTCACTGCTTTTCTGGAGTTTGCATTCTAGTGGAAATAAATCTATAGTTAAAGGTATAATGTTCACCAAAGAGCTTTTTTTTGTTGTTGTTGCAATGTTCCTTTTTTATTTCTTCTTTGTCATTTCTATCAATAAGGTAAAATAGTCACACAGGGAAGCATGGGCGACTGCTAGCTAACTTAACAAGCCGTCACTTAGGTAACAAAACTTACCTAGTAAACTGTTCCCTCCAAGACTGCAAACTGTCCTTACACTGACCTTGATGTCTACAAGCTTCAGACAAATGGTCCAGTAATTGAGAGCAATCAATTAGAGTCAATCACATTTAGTTAGGAGAATCTAAAGTCATAATGGACTAAAACAAGCTGACCTGCTTGTAGCTTTGCATTTTAATTGTACTCCTTCTGTCCTCCACCTGTGCATGACGTTATGCTGAGATCTTCTGACCTTTGCAATACTTCACCAAATGAGTCTGGACCGCAGTTCTCACTAGGTCTCATTGCTAGAATGCTCAAAGGCAGAAAAATACTGGAAATGTACTTGCAGGTCAGAAATAAGAGTTTTGACTGACTAACCTTATAGGTAAAATTCTTGTTGCAATGAAAATGCTCAGTTTAATGAAGAAAAAATACATAACTTGCTTAGCATTCCATTTGAAGTTGCCATCCAAGACATTTGAGTTGTGTGATACCATTGTTTACTTGACTGGATGGTGGCATAGTTTCCAATTTATCCTTCAGTAATCTGATATGCTGAGAAAACACTGGCCATTAAAGACTTTATAGTTTCCTAACCTCCTACTGGAAGCCAGTCTTCAGAGGCCTCACCTGACTGTAGAGCATTCAGTTAGTTGTCTACAAAAGCAATTTCGAGTTTGTTTTTTATTTATTTGTAAATAAATTACTATAAGCGGTTCCTTCACATTTTACATTATGCTTGTTAATTTTTTTCTGAAAAATTGTTTCTTTAAAATTAATTCTTCTTATCCAAGCCCTAGTAATATCTAATCATGTCAAAACAATATGGAGCCAAAATTATTTCCAAGCACTTCCCAGGAACTTTGAGATAATTGAATCTGTTTCTTCTGATGGAGCAAGATGACAATTTGAGGAATCTATTTGAGGATAAATTGTCTTTGGAACAGGATTTCAAATGCTAAATAACTTCACAAATTTATTTCAATAAAAAATATTTATTAAGTACCTAATGGCTGGTAAATCTTATAACAGGCAAATGCCATCCAAAAATGAATAAGGCACAGTTACCCTCAAGAACTTCACAGTCTAGTAAGATTTAGCCATATTAAATTATTTTTATTTATTGTAAAGAACTTTAGATTTCTGTTTTTTGTTAAGATCAGGCTAAGACTGGTTAAAAATATTAGATCCCATTTTTAATCATGTAACCAGATCTCCAGTTGGTAATAACTTATTTATCAAATGCTTGACTAAATAAGCAAAGATTTTCATACTACTTTAGAAAAGATTTTAGACTATCCATGATCTACATTTTATAGATAAGAAAGCTGGCAGGAATCAGACTTAAAACCACATTTCCAAAGTCTAGTTGAAAGGATTTCCTACTGCAGTCCACATGAGAGTATGGAATATGGAAAAATAATAATTATTTGGTGCTAATATTACCTTAATCAATTGTGGGATAATTGTTTTACCTTATACACTGGGGGTAGAATGCATCCTCTGTTCTCCCTGACATGTCTTATGCATTATTCCTTACCATTAACAGCTTAATGGATATATTTACTGTGTATTAGTTTTCCAGATCAGGAAATTCGTAAAGTGGCAGTTCAACAATTAGACACCCTCTTGAATGATGAACTACTGGAATATCTCCCACAGCTAGTTCAGGTAAGAACAGCAGAGTTGCTAAGGAAACCCAGAGTTTTAACTAATTATTCTCTAAAAGGTTCCCAATGAATCAACAATAGACTATTTAGAAGTGATATTGCAATTTGGCCACCCAAGAGACTAAATGATGTCAACATGGGTAAGGAAGACATTCTCTATCTGAAACTGTTACAATTACAAAAAAAGGTACGTTAATTCCAAAAAGGAAAATTTTTAAAAAATTAATAAATGATTTCATTTATTAATTAGAACATGAAAAAATAGACATGCTTGTGATAAAAATTTACAAATATGTATATATAAAATGATAAAAATTACCAAATAAATGTTATATAGAAAATAATCATTTGCTAGGCAACTTCTCATAATTTATGAGTTTCTTGCACTTCTTTAGAGGCTTATAATATTGATCATAAATTTTATCATAGTAATTTCTAATAGCCAAATTTTGTCACCAAATAGTACATTTTAGTAACATCAAATATCACAATGTTGGAGTAATTTTAGAAAATAATATAATGTTATCTAGTAATGTAAGCAAAGACTGATTTAGTCTGAATATGATGAAATATAAACAATTAAATTACACATTCCACACATGACCATGTAAGTAACAGAATATCTAATCTATAGAAGGTAAATTGTTTTCGTTTTTTCCAGGATGACTGTATGTTGAGAGCTAAATAGATCTAAACCTGTGGCTTTTTATGCTTTGTTTTGTTTTTAATCCAGCTTTTTTTTTTTTTTTGCCTGAAAAGTCAAGTTGTCACAGCTAGTTTGAATGTCAGTTGCCTCAGGTTTTGAAAAGTGACTGGAAACAGGTAGAATGAGCCTATATTAATAAACTTTAGTAGAGTATGACTTTGCACAGACATTATGAATTTCTCTGAACATCTGCTTAAGAGAGAGAGCTGGTTTATAAATAGCTGTACCATAGAGTACAATCCAATCTTTCTTGAAAATAAGGGTTGATCTAACTTACAAGTTCACCGTTCATCTCATGACTCAAGGGTATGGCAACATGCTATTTCTAGCCCAATTCAGGAGAGTATGTTTTCACAAAAGTTTGTAGACATTAAACTCATTTGAAAGTCTCTATCTGAGTAAGTACACTTGGCATCAGGAATGTCATTGAGGCCCATATTCCCGCAAATCCAAATTTATAAGAAGGGGTGCACACAATCTAACACAGCAAATACACAGAAGGCAAAATTAAAGTTTCAACTATGTTATGATTAAAAAGGAAGGATATAAAATGTCCTGAGATGGAAAGAAATTGATAGTGTGACTAGAAAATTTTTTTAAAAAGGAAGAATTTCAAAACATTCATTGTCCGTAGACTTCTATACTCTACCTTGAATTTCAAACTTTCCAACACATAAAAAATCCTAACCTGTTGATTGTTTTCTGGAATCATGCTATTTTGTTATGTATTACCATGTTGGAATTATGCAGTCTATATTAAAGCTGTAAGAAAGGACTCTAAGGCTGTAACAAAACAGAAGATACAGTTCATAGCTAAGTCAAATAAGACCCAGACCCAGGGGTTACTGCAAACCACTTCAGATAATATGGTGTTCACCAGAAAAATGGTCTACATTCTAAATGGTCAGGCAGGATTTAGGGGAAAATTGTATCAGTGGACAGAGTAAAGCAGGAAGCTTGGAAGTGAGGGATAACAAATAGTTATTGGGTTCAGGAAGAAATAATGGGGCAGACATCTAAGAAGGCAAGCAGGTAGGTAATTCTGAAACATACCTCCTGCTCATATGCTCATATAATATCACTATTAGGGCATAAATAAAACCTATGACCTAGCCAGCCCAGCATTAGCACGTAAGTGAGAGAGGGCCATGGCTACAGTTTAAGACAGCACACACTATTGTCCTTCTACATTCAGACAGCATCAGGAGTTTGTGCAGATTTGCTGAACTCATCTTCAGCACCCTCACACCTTAGGAATTTATAAAATTTCACATTCTTGAGGATAGCTAGCATATTGAGGTGTTTCTTCAAGTGTACGTATGACTGGATATTGTACTCATTTTTTCCTGCTGTCTGTACTGCGGTATAAAGCCTGGCTTAGACTCTTAAGTTTTGTGTGTGTGTGTGTGTGTTTGTGTGTGTGTGTGTGTAAGAGAGAGAGACTTAAATGGTTTATCAAACAACTAAAGATAGAAGCTTTGTCTTTCAAGCAGGAATGGGCATTTTTATGAGAACCTGGTTTTCATTTTCGTATATTCAGATTCCTGGGTTGATGATAGCAGCTCAGCTACAGATTGCTGTCAATGAAGTCCCTGCAGAGGACAGGTGAAGCCCTAAATTAGGTCCCTAAGGATAGCGGGGGCTGCCATTGTTACCTGTGTTTTCTACCCGGTTGGGTATCCTAAAAAACTTAAGAGTTGTTCACAGTGGAGATGAAAGAAAGGATTTGGGACTGAGTTATGGTAGTAATAGTTTTGAACTTTTAAGCAAAACCTCAAGGCCTGGAGGTTAATAATGATATACGTTGATGATTTCTGTTAAGGTTTTGAATGTGCATTAATTTCATCTCCAAATAGGAAGAAATATCTATGGCTTAATAATATTGTATTTAATAATCCAGGACTCTTTGTGTCAGTATTCTCCCCCAGCACATGGTTGAACTCTACCAACTCCTGCCCTTATTTCTTATCCATAACAAGGAAAGAAAGCAAGACTACACAAATCCAAATGGTGTAATGTATGTGTGTTTTGTTATTAGTCATACACCAACTCATAAAACCATGAATGTGTTATTAGCATTTTGTTAAAATGTGCATGCTGTTTTCTCTAGTCTTTTCTCAAGCCTCTGAAGTCCCTCTGTATTCAGGTATAATTTTGTTACTGACAAGTAAAGTAATTGTGTCTCTTACTTCAGGCTGTCAAGTTTGAATGGAACCTTGAGAGTCCTTTAGTGCAACTTCTACTCCACCGCTCCTTGCAAAGCATCCAGGTTGCCCATCGTCTTTACTGGTAAGATTACCTAAAACAGGCAAGGATGCCTTTTTAATTGCCAACTTCTCTATGGGGCAGCTTTAGAGGAAGCAGAAGATTTCTTTACCTTATAATTGATACAGACCATAAAATTCAGGCAGTTTTGAGTCTTTGTCAATGTTATTTTTATTGAAGAGGATAATTTGCCATCATTTTCAAAATCTACCAGTTGGACAGTTGCTACTGTTAATCAGGAAGTTAAATCCAAAGAGAATTTCAAATCTGAATGATACTTTTCTTGTAGCTTTAAATGACAAGTACAATTTGTATATCTACTCCTTGAAGATTTTAATATAAAATCTAGTTATGAGACTGAATGTTTTTGGAAGAACATGTGGTATAAAATACTTTCTGTGCAATGTTAGCTATAAACCATAAAATCCAAAGGCTAATGTATACTCATTCTGTTGAATATTTCTAGAGCACTAAACTTTTCCCAAAGCATAAATTTGAAATATCATTAGTGAAGAAATAAGACTGATTCATGAGATGCCAGAATTTCCGTAACAACACCTGAGGATATTACCATTTCAGTTTCCCCATCGTTTCTGCCAGAACTTAGCTTCTGTACATCCACCCCACTATTTCTTTACGTACCAAATTAAGATTGTCAAAAGATGCTATTCCTGAGAAGGCTTGTCAGTTGGACAGTTGCTAGTGGAGACTAACGAATGCTAAAGGTGAAGTGGAAGAAGTTCAAGGACCTGGAGTAGCTTGTGAATTTCCAATCATCAGTCAAGTTTGGGTGTATGACTAGAGTAGCTGTACCACATTCTCTACAACAACAGGATATGTGGAAGGGTATTATACCTACCATTTCCTTTACTTTAAATATCTTTAATGTTGCCATTCTCCAATTCCATATGGCATGTCCAACATTCAGGGTGCCTATACTATGATTGGAAATGGGTCCTGATGAATATGAAGAGATGGAAGAGAAAGATGAGGGGGGAGGAGAAAAAAAGATGATGATGATGATTCAGCAGATATGGATGAATCAGAAGAAGATGAGGAGAAAGACAGAGTAGAGTCTTTGATGTTCCCATTCGTAGATGCTGCTGCTCATGCCTTTTTTAGCAAGCCTTCTTCTGATGGAAGCACTGGGATGATTCTAGTCTGCTAAATAGATTTCTCAATAATGTAAATAACTGCATTATTCTCAGCATATAGCAAGAAAACCAGAATGAAATATTGTTCCAGGACCTGGGTTCTGTGTGACATTACATTAGGAACTGGATTGTTTTGGTTAGTTTTGTGTTTTTGAAGTAAAGAAGGAAATGGATTGCTTTTTTTCTCTAGCTAAGGGACAGACATTTCTTTCTTTCTTTCTTTCTTTTTTTTTGAGTCAGAGTCTCACTTTGTCACCAGGCTGGAATGCAGTGGTGCAATCTCGGCTCACTGCAACTTCCAACTCCCTGGTTCAAGCGATTCTCCTGCCTCAGCCTCCCAAGTAGCTGGGACTTCAGGCACGTGCCGCCACACCCGACTAATTTTTGTATTTTTAGCCGACTAATTTTTGTATTTTTAGTAGAGATGGGGTTTCACCATGTTGGCCAGGATTGTCTTGATCTCTTGACCTCGTGATCCGCCTGCCTCAGCCTCCCAAAGTGCTGGGATTACAGGTGTGAGACACTGAGCCCAGCTGACATTTCTTTCTTTTAAATTATTTTTTACTTATAAATGTAGAGAAATTGAGAGGGAATTGTTTTGAATAAGGATTTAAAGTGTAGCAGAAATACCGACACAAGGGTAGATAGATACCATGTGACTGAATGAGTCTGTGAAAAGATTTCTTGAAGTTGAGAGTTATTTATAAATGAAACAAAATTTGTAATTAGGCCAATCCATTTAGTGATTTCTTATATTTTGTACTCACAGAGAACTAATTGACTAAATAACTTGAATGCTAGTAGTTTGAACTTTCTTACACAATGTATCCTTGAATTTAAAGTCTTTATCATCAAGATCTTGACTTTGAATTTTTCATCACTACAACCTTGAATTTAATTTCAAGTCTTCAACATGATGACCTTGAATTTAAAGTCTTCAACACTATGACCCTTATCATATTATTCATAGAGGCATCATTTTGAAATGTAGTATGTAAAAGTATTTATGGGTTGTTTATTAACAAAAAAATTCTTCACAATGTCTCATGTGGTTTAAAATTGCTATTTCTGTTTTGTTTCTCCCTTATACACTTGACTAACTAACTTTGTGATAAGTGACATGAATTTTGTGTTAGGATTAAGTATGTTTTCCTGAAATATTGGGGTTTTTTTGTGATTATATAATTGAGAGTTAAGAATAAAATCCTTCTAATGTTAAAAACTCACATATTAAAAACAAATTTTGGTTCCAATCCTGTTTTTTAAAAAAACAATTTCTCCTATCATCACTTACACTTGATCCTATTGAACATAATGTTCTTTGCATGCTGTTCTTCCTACTTTTCTTTGTATTATTAACCTTGTTGATTCAATTTTAATTTCATAGGACAAAGTTTTAGCAATTATAAGTTTCAATGACCTAAGGATAAAATTAGATCTATGTTTTACTCTCATGAGTGTATGACAGGCATCATTTAGTTGCTTGATTGATAGTTAAGACCACTAAATAACAGGAAAACAGCAAGTCAATATCATTTGGAGTGTCATATTTTTTCTGCTTCAAGAAATGTTACTCATAATGAGATCACTCTTCTCATGAAAATCACTCAAGAAGTCATAGCAAAGAAGAGACACAAGGAACTTGGTCAGCGACTGTTTGATGCTTGTTTTCATTTTAAATGCCTAATTTAAAAACCAGAACAATTCCTGTAGCATGTTACTATAATAAAACATGAAATACATTGACTGGCATGAGGCCCTCCCATGAATAGACTCTTAATTAAAGCTCTGAATGAAGGCTTATTTTCTTCAGTTTTTCACAAAGCTACTTTGGTGCAAAGGAAAGTTAAGTGGATATACTTTGTGGTGTTCTGCTGTCATTCTAAATGTAGGACTCCATTAAACTCAATGTTTAATTCCCTTAAAACTTTACTGTATTTTGCATGCATTATTAAAATGTAGGCATATTTAAAAAGTAACATAGCCAGATAACAATTTTTATTTTAATATCTGAACAAAAATATAAAAGCATATAAAGTATAAAATATAAAAAAGACAATGTTTTAGGTGGGCGCGGGGGCTCACGCCTGTAATCCCAGCACTTTGGGAGGACAAGGCGGGTGGATCACTTGAGGTCAGGAGTTCGAGACCAGTCTGGCAAACATGGTGAAACCCTATCTCTACTAAAAATACAAAAATTAGCCGGGCGTGGTGGCGGCCTGTAATCTCAGCTACTCGGGAGGCTGAGGCAGGAGAACTGATGGAACCCGGGAGGCAGAGGCTGCAGTGAGCCGAGATCGTGCCATTGCACTCTAGCCTGGGCTGACAATGGCAAGACTCTGCCTTAAAAAATAAAAATAAAAAAAAGACAATGTTTTAAAAAAATTTAAAAATATAATAAAATATTAAAGACGTATTCTAATTGACTAATGATTGTTAAAATACTTGCACCACCTCAGTAAGTTCTTCATCTGCTAAAGTTGTATGAAAAGTGATCATTTGAAAGGCAACAATGGGTGCACACAAAGCGGTAAATCAATGCCATACTTGCAAATCCATGTAAGTACAAATACGTCATTGTTTCCAAAAAGGTTGGAAGGGAAGTTTTTTTGTGTATAATTCTCATCCTTATGAAAAAAAAGTCAAGCCCATTTTTCCTATCAGTGATTCAAGAAGAAACTAAGAAGGAATAGAAAATAGTATATATTATAAGTGGACTGTTTGTTTTGAGAGCTTTGTTTGTAAGAATATGAAAAAAGAGAAATAAGAACAAGGAAGGAGTTTTCTTTAACTTTTAAGTTCAGAGGCACACGTGTAGGTTTGTTACGTAGGTAAACACATGTCATGGGGGTTTATTGTGCAGATTATTTCATCACCCAGGTATTAAGCCTGTTACCTATTAGTTATTGTTCCTGATCCTCTAAGAGAGAAGATTTTTAAAATGCCTACAACCCCTTAAAACAAATAAAAATTAAGAATCAGGCAACATGCACTAAGCATAAAATAATATTAATTATATTTAAAATATATCAGAGTCAAAAAAAAATAGCTCAAGCCTAGCATCATATTTAGGGAGTGATTGCTTCCATGCAAAATGTTTGCGTTAAAACTTTAAAGATGCAGCTCGCATCTCACAATTCATGAAAAAAATATACTCAAAATATCTTTCCTTAAAAAGAATGCCTTATTTATGTTTTAAAAAACTAGAAACCCATCAGTCATGGGTTTAATGAGATTTTTTTCACGTGGATGAATCACTGCTTCCTAAGATTCACCATATTCAACACTGAACTAAATATCCTGTCTTGCTCACCCAGGTCTTGAAGTCTTCCTTGTTTCTCACTAACATGACCAGTTATTCACCAAACCCTATAACTCTATGTATCCTCAACAGCGCTCCCTGCTCCACAACTTCCACCTGCCACTATCACTGATCAGAAAGTTGCCTCACCAGATATTGAGCTATGAATAAGTAAAATTGGAATGAAAACCATCTTGACTACTTGGCATCACTGTGGATAGCCTTTCTGAAAGGAGAAATTGACTTAGGCTCACAGTGAGTCTCTTCCACTGTAAGAGTGAATGTAGGATGAATAGCCCCTATCTTCCAAGGCAAGTGAGTTAACTAGAAGCTTTGTGTTGGAATTTGAAAGCTTTACCTCACAGTTTGCATCCTAAAAAGGTGGCTATAAATGGGAACCATAACATTTGGAGCTTATGCCCAGGAGGCCCCTCCTCCATTGTGTAATAATTAATTACAAAAGCTTAAATGTGGTGCCCCTTTCCGTTTGGAATAGGAAACACTTTATCCACCAGTGAAGTATTGAGTTGAGTGGTGGCCCCAAAGAAGATATGTCTGCAGCCTAACCT